CTGGGCCTGGCTTAGAACCCCCCCCCCCCTGCCTCCCTCATCAGGGCCCTGCCAGCTCTGAGGCTGGCCTCCCCCCCAGCGCAGAGGAGACAGGGGGAGCCATTCCCCAATGCGGCGCAGTGTGTCCCCAGCCAGGACCCCGCTCAGGGCTGCCCCAGACCACCCCGTGCTTGCCCCCAGGAGGTGGGCCTGGTAGCTCAGGTGTGGGTCCAGCTGACCCCCAGATGGCTGGCAGTCTCCTTGGGGCCCACTGACCTGGGTTGCCCATGAGGTGCCATGGCAGAGTCTGGTGCCAGCAAGTCCCAGGTACTTCCCAGCAAACCCAGAGCCCCTCACTGTGGCTCCCAGCTGGCTCCAATGCAGGAGCAGCTCCTGCCCCAGCCCAACCGATGGCCCTGGCCCCTTGGGAGCTGGAGGGGAGGGGATTTCCTGGGGCACCCTGCAGATGGCACAGCACTGATCCTACCCCAGCCCCTTCCCCACAGTTTTCATGTGTACCCCCTCTGGGTTGACCACAGTGCCTGGAACTACTCCAACTGGGCCAGAGGGAACCCCTGGTGGTTTTGGAAATCATGTGTTGCCATGTGCCCTGTAGGTGAGGAGCCCCCTGGGCTAGGATAGGGCGGAGATGAGGATCTAGTCACTGCTTGTGGGAACAAGAGCCCTTGGGCAGGGGCACTGCAGATCTGTGGGGCAGGGGTCCAAGGGTAGGTGGGGCTGTGGGGCAGGAGATATGAGGGTAGGTGGCGGCAGGGGATCTGGGGTTAGTGGTACTATGGAGGTCTGGGGCAAGGGATCTGGGGTTTGCTGTGGGCTGGGTGCCAGGTGCCAGCTGGGAGGGCACTAACCCCTCTCTCTCTGCCAGGTGGTCAATGGAGAAGCGTCAGCTGCGGGACTCACCTGCCCTTTATCTGCGAGTACTGAGGGGGCTGCTCCCCCCCACAGGGTCCCACTGCCCCCACTGCTCTGCTGGCCTGGAACTCCCCACTCTGCCCTGCTGGAGGCGCCCCTGCTCCCGACTCTGCTCCCAGCCTTGTCCTGGCTTCCCGGGGGGGCAGCCCCCACTCGCTCATTGCCTGTGACTCCCTGCAATAAAACAGTGCTGCACTCATCCGCCCCAGGTGTTGCTCCTTCCTGCCCCTGGGGCTGGACCAGGGCAGGGGGAGGGCAAGAGGTGGCCCAGGGGGAGAGGGGCTGGGGATTACCCCCACCCAGGGATGGAGGTGGGAGGGGAGTTACTGCTGTACTGGGCATTAGGGAGCCCACTAGTGGGAACTCTGTCCAGTTCAGGGGTACCCCCAGCCCCCGGGACATTCCCAGCAAGCAAAGGGCTCAGAAACGCCCAACAAGAATGGAGCTGAGGACTGCAGCCTTGCCACAGGCCGCGCCGGCAGGAAGTGCCAGCTTTGGGGGGACTTGCACCCGGTCTGCACACCCCATTGTGGGCAGGAGATTTCTCACAGCAGGGGCTCATCAGTCCAGCAGGCGCTGGGCATGGTCTGCACCAAATTCAGACCAGGAACAGGGGGCATGTTTTTAACATGGAGGATCCTCTTCCCGTGGGCTGGTGGGTTCTCCAGTGCCTGGGGGCACCCAATGAAAACCGGATGCCTGTCTCAGACAATGCATCATGCTGGAGCCGCTGGGGGAGGGTCAGGCCATCAGACAAGATGGGCACAAGCCAGGCAGAGCAGACCAGGGGCTTCCAGTGACCTCTGGAGAAGACTAAGTGCAGAGCTGGGTTAGTTCCTCGTTAACATTTATGTGATTTCAGGGAGGAAGGCGCCGGGGCGTCCCGTTCCCTCACTTTTACAAAGAAGCACAGAAATAAAATCTCTGTAGTAAAAGAGAAGGAAATAGGGGGATTGAAATACACCCTGCCGCTAAGGGGAACTATAATACACACACACACCCCGCCGCGCACCCTGGGTGCAGGGAGAGGGAAAGGCTGGATTTATAGCGACCGGGCTATACAAAAACCTAGAAAATCAAGTATTTGTAAA